GGTGCAGACCAGTCAGATGTTTCAACCAAAAACCATGCAGTTCATCTTCACCTGGTGTTGACTAATTCTTGATCTTCCTTGCCCTTTTCTCCACCATTTCTGCTGTTATTCCAAGTTCTTTCATTTCAGCTTCTTCTTTTTTCCTTCTCTATCTCCTTTATTCAAGCTGTATTCTTGTTGTATTTTTTTGGGTTGTTCCATGGCTGCACCCAGAACTGCACTGTTTCTTCTTTGTCAGGTGTTGGCTGGTTCATTGCAGTCGCTCCATTGATGGATTGGTAGAAATGTTTCTGATTCGACTGAAATTGGAGAATCTGCCTTTAGTGTGCATTCGAGCTTCCTATCTGCTGATCTTGTCAGAATCCTCGTAATCAATTAACTACTTTGCTTGATAGCTTGCTTGCTTCGGTTCTGCCATTAGAAGAAGTGTGTGTGTGGGGGGGGGGAGTTGGGAAGACGTTAGAAGCAGATGGGCTGTTATCAGAATGCAGGAACGCTCAAGGTCGTACCAATGGGCGAATGTGAGAATGTCTGGAAGGCTAAGGGGGGGAGCATGGGAACCAAAGGGGGTAAAAGTAACTTTTTGGCATGCGCAAGCTCAGTCTTAGCAATGCTTTGGACCTGTACACTTTTCCTCAATAAATTAACTTTTCTTCGAACCTTTATTGGTTGCAAGAGAGTTACTGGCATTGGGGGTTGGAAGTGGCAGATTGTTACAGATCTTTTTGGCCATGGCTGTTATTTGCTGCTTTATTATTTCCAGAGTTTCCTTGATCTTCCTTGTTTCTAGGTGTTATTTCTTGATCTTTGGTCTTCTTGTTCTCTCTTGTCTTTTCTTTTCTTTTTCTTTCATCCGTTCTAGCCCGCTTGCAACTGATCTTAGATGCTGATCTTATTTTCCAATCTGATCTTCCATTTTGGTGGTGCACTGTTTGGCTTTTTTTCTCGTTTGTTGATTTTTGCATCCAAGGTATTCAGTTATAACTGCAGACATGCTGTATATTAGTTGGTTTGTTTCTTGCAGTGAGCTGGTGTTTATATTTGATATTACAGTATTGGCATCTTGTAATACTTGTGCTAGCTGTTTTTTGTAACAAGCTTCAATGCAGGCAACCTTATTCTGTTGTTTTTGTGCTGTTCTGAATGTTCAATTATTCTTTGTTTCAGTTCCTCTTGTTTTTCAGTTAGAGGACTTTGTTCTTTCTGAAGAGAAGGTAGAGGAGACAGTGCCTGGTTTGGGAATGAGAACGGTTCAATAGTGATGCTGGCTTCCTCTATTACCCACTATTTCAATATCATTTTCAGGAATGTTGCAGGAGATTATTATTATTATTATTATATGTGTTACCATTATATTTTATTACATTTTTTTTTAAAAAAAGCCAATTTTTTGTGATCTTATCTGGCAACATGAAAGATATTTCCAGATTTTGCTGTCTCCTGAGATCTGGCCCTTTTTAATTTTAAGAAAGTGAATTTGAAGAAGGAATGGCAAGGGCTGTTGTCTAAAGGCGGCATGGATACTGTGCTGCCAGCTCTTCAGTCATCGTTCCCTGCATTCCAGTTTGAAAGCTGTTCTACTCTTAAGATGGCTTAAATTCAATGACTTGGATCTAGACATAGTCATCCTGGCAGTGATCCCGCTGGCATCAATGAATGTGATGACTAATGTAGGCCACAATGATTTGAATTGGCCCTCTCAAAATCTGACTTTGTTGACATCCAATCCAGTATTTCTTACACTCTTCTCTCTCCCTCTCATACACACATACACACTAGAAAAGGCTTCTACATAGCAAGAAAAAACTTAGCTCAAGACAAAATATTCCTCAATAGAATACCAGAATTCTTGGCTTATCCAACCTACCTTGTTAATAATTCTGCTGGTAAAAAGAGATGGAGTCTTCTCACGATGTGTATGAAAGTTTAAAGCCATGAGAGCATCTGGCCCTACAGAAAAATAGTTATTCATTGTGAATACCTGCAAAGAGAGAGGGAGAGAGAGAGAACACCAACCATCAAAAATGAGTGGACGGTGAAGGAAGTGCAGCAGGGTCATGCAACGTTCTCTTTTGGAGAAAGGGTGTCGATCTGAACATTCCGTTCTGCCGCCTGCTGAGCACTGCATGGCTCACCAATGTCAAAGAAAAAAAAACCTAGATCTCTCTGCAGATAAGGCATAGCAGGAAAACCAGACTCTAGAACTGTTGGCTGGCAGGAAGTAGGATGGCGGAGAGTTAGTTCCACACTGATGGGGGGGGGGGAGGCATCTCTGAATCAGCAACATTCTTCTCTTCTGAAATGTCAGAAGCTCAATTAACTTCTTTTGTACCTCACACTAGGATTGCTCTAAGTTTTATCCAGTCCTCCTGAAAATGCATGCCTGCTTAAGAATCTTGCTGAATCCAAGAATCCCAGAATCCAGGAGGCCCAAGCAGATCACTAGAAGTTGCCCAGCCACCCACTGAGGATCAGGTTCTTGTGTTAGAGCATTTTAATCACTATGTAAAACCTTACCTTTAATTTCCTTAAGTTGTAGTATCCTTTGTTTGTTACCTGAACCTTCCACCTAAGAGAGAATGCACAGATTGGCATATAAAATGGCAAAAGAAACAGAAAATGGAGAGCTAACAATAGCATGGTGAATTAGCCACAGTTGATGATTTTAGGAATAATGACAATTGCTGAACAAATTCTTCAATACATTTTAGGACTTCCTATATTCATTTTGTCTCTATATAAGAATGGCAGGCCTTTATGGTTGCCACTTGAGTGGGCTGGTCTATTCACAAAATGTTTGTCTTGGTGGGCATACCCTGCCACATAACTCTTTTATCAGAATGTAAACTGCAAAGGTTGTTCCCTGCCACTCCTCTAGCTTCTCAAGATGTTTGGCTTTGTCTTTTTATGGATACCTTTACATATTTTTATTTTCTAATACCTATCTAAAGCCCAGAGGAATTCTTGTAAATAAAGATGCTGCTAAAGGTTGGTTTGTGGTTTTATAGCACGCTAGCTTCCAATGTATTTAACTGTAGAATCTAAAATATTAAGTCAAGTAAGGCAGGAAAACTGGCAAGTGTGAATGGAGATGACCACGGGCATCTTAGCAATCTAAGTGCCACACACTGCCATATTATCCCTTATTTTTTGTTCATTAATAATGGATTAGTTAACATAAGGTTGCTTTATGCCTCAGAGTTCCTTGAAATAATTCAGCCTTGACTGTCAGGAGTTATAAATACAGACTTGAGGGAAAGATTATTACCTAGGAAATGGAAAACTTTGATAGTTATGTCATAGGCCATGTTGCCTACCCCTGAACTGGCAGAATTCCAAATGCCCTGTATGACAAAAATCCAGCAGCAGGATTCTTTTATTTAGTGTTGCTTATAGCTAAGTGCAATGAAGTATAACATGGCATTAACCAATATTAGAAATAAAATAGGCTTAAATTGAAGAATGTAGGGAAAACCACTAGACCACTCAGGTATGACTTAGATCATATTCCTTG